TGGATGGATGGATGGATGGATGGATGGATGGATGGATGGATGAATGGCCCTTGCAAGGCTCAATAATAACTCAGTCAAATTTACAGACGTTGAGCTAAATTTAGTGTGGTAGAAACTGAGAGTCATCCTCAACATGCACTCTGAGCACTAACTGAACAAGATCTTTGATTATAACATTGAAATGCCAACCAGTGAGTGACATGAATTCCTTTAAGGAATGACAGTTTATTTGTTTGTGTGTTTATTTATTCACCAGATTAAAATAATTAATAAAAGTCTCACAAAATCTTGGTTCCACTCACCCCATTGACTGGATACGTCTTCCAGTCCAGCTCTCCCAGTACTGTTGTTGTGTCCAGCAGAACCACTATGGAAAGAAAGTTGTAAAAAAATGGAACGAGATAAGTTAGACAAGCAGAAGAACAAAAATAAAAAGCACAACGAATGACAAGAGGGGGCATAAAGATGAAAAGAGTGAGTGCAGCAACGGTTGGACTATGAATTTGGAAAGGAGAAATGGAGGAGAGGAAATAGAAAGAGCGCGCACAATAGTTATCAACCTGTCAATAAGAAGCTTACATAGCTGCAAAGCCCTCATCAGATGCAACCACCTATGAAATAACAGCTCTTAGGAAACTCCCCCGGACATCACTGGCACAGATCCACACTCCGTCTGCCTGAAGACTGGAAAATGTACTGCTCAGAGGTCAGAAATCTCCTTCAGCAAAGAAAAAAGAAAAAGTGGAAAAATGGAGGAGGATGGAAGAACTTTGGAGACTGAGAACTGTCCAAAATGTTCATTTTTTTGGACAGAGAGGACAGTTTGAGAGGGTGTTGACGGAAAGTGTTTATGTCAAATGAGAAAAAATCAACTTTAAACAGTGGAGGAGGTCTCGGATTTCAAGTTTCAGAAATGTACAATGCAGCTTTAGGCCTGATTCCCAGTCAGTTCCACTCCAATTCACACCTTCATGCATGCGACCAAAACATCTATCTCATGAGCCAAACAAAAAAAGAGCCTAACGAGCCTAACGAGCCTCCATCGTGCGGAGTGAGTAGTTCCAGTCTGATCTGCAGGTGAATCCAGGTACACAACGAGGCCTCTATAAAGCTTAGAAATCCACTCTCCAGACATTTTTGAATGGGTAAAATAACACTATGTGCTTAGAAGCTTTTTTGCATTCCTTATACTAAAAACATTCTATTACTGACAAAGAAAATGGTATAAATTCTCCATAAATATTACATCACACTCAAAGACTACTGGAGATATGGTGACCTGAAGGTGGTGGGTCCACAAGATTGCCGGAAGGAGTCTTCAAGCACATATAAGCTTAGTTTGCATCCATACACACTTATAGATATGAAAGTAGTTACTTGCTCAGGGTATCTCCTGTGGTGTTGAACTTGGGAGTTTAAACGATGTGCCATTCGGGCGCATCGACAGAGGGGTTTGTTAGAAGTTTAATCTTGCTGGAGGCCTGATCTGACCTACTCTGAATTATAACCTAGTTTGGACCAGATCATACCAGTCTCAGCTGCTCACAATGAGCGATCCCAGGGTCAACACCCGATAAGGAGTCATTTTTGTTTGCTTGCTTCCAACACTTAGATAGATTTGCACATCACCCTAAAATCCACCATAAGAAACAGATAAGACCAATGACGTCACACATAGTCACCCCACTGATACACTCTGATAGGCTGTGCCCGTCCCGGATGTGAAGGCGGAGCCAAGGGCCAACATAAGCTGGGGCGTTCTTTTGCACGGAACCTCCACTTCTGGGTTAAGACAGGTCGGATGGACGCCTCAGCACTGAGCTTGTAACTTTTCCTGCCTTATCGACATTAAATTGTAAATAGAATTTAACAACAAAGTCCATGCTCAATAATCCAGGTATAAAATCCAACATTTTTCAGTCAGGTCATCTGGACAGTTTCTTTTTTTGTGCTGAAACGTTTCGCCTTCGATCCGGAAGGCTTCATCAGTCAAGGAAACACACAACAAACTATAAAAAAAAATAATTGGTTGATGTTGGATGTTATGTTGTATTTTATACCTGGATTATTGAGCATGGACTTTGTTGTTTTCAACCAGTTTGACAAGACTGTCAACAAGGAAGAGGGCCGGCAATAGAGGAGGGGCGTATCAAAGAGATCATCTAATCACAAGCAGAACTGGTTTGTTCCACTTTGGAGTAAGCTGTTGGGGGAAGAATCCGATTTTTTGTGTGTTTCCTTGCCTGATGAAGCCTTCTGGATCGAAGGCGAAACGTTTCAGCACAAAAAAAGAAACTGTCCAGATGACCTGACTGAAAAATGTTAAATAGAATTCACTTCTCCTGATTTTATTGAGTTTGTGTGAATTTCCTCTCCACCTGGGAACAAACAAACCGGAAAGGGTGCCGTGGTCGGACGGCTGAAAAAAGCTTGGATGTACGTTTTCAGCTTCAGAATAGAAGTCCAGTTGTTTCAGTGTTTTTTTTTAATAACGTTTTGAAAGAACTAAACCAAATATATTTGACTGAATTGTGTTATCTTCTACCCTTTTTCTTTCCACTTTATCATGTGCACAACAATCAGAAGGTGAGAGGAGAGGCACACTCCCAACAGAGCAGTCCGGTGCTGGGCCACCAGAGACTAACAAACAAACACGCTCATGCAAACTATCCTGATGCATGCTCAATAATCCAGGTAGAAAAATCTAAAAAAGTTAAGTCTGGTCCTCAGGACAGGTTCAAAAAACAAAAATCAGAACATACAAACTGACTCCTAAATGCCCATTTTGGTTCAATTTTTAATTGAATTGTGATGGAGTCAGGCTGAAGCCTTGTGTCTACAACTGTGCAGGTTTTCAGGAAATGAAAAAAAGTGGAGTCATGAGTTCAAAAGTTAATTTCTTGTTTTGTCATGACATGGATGCTATGACTTTTTTTTTTTCTTTTTACTTTTACACTAAGGAGGTAATCTTTAGGCTTTATATACTGTCCTGCTTCTTTTACCACTAACAACACAGATTCTGCTTATTAATCAAATTTCAGTAAAATCATCAGCGCTTAGCGTTTGTTACTCTGTAGTTCAATGGTTTCAGTAGACGCAGTTCAACACAATCCATCCATCCATTATCTTTACCCGCTTCTTCCTTGTCGGGTCGCGGGGGTCACTGGCGCCCTTATCCAGCAGTTACTGTGCGAGAGGTGGGGGACATCCTGGACAGGTCTCCAGTCCATCACACGGATACATTGAGACAAACAAGACAAACAACATTCACTTACACCTAGAAACAATTTAGAGTTACCGATCAGCCTAACATGCATGTTTTTGGTCTGTGGGAGGAAACCGGAGTGCCCGGAGAAAACCCACGCATGCACAGAGAGAACATGCAAACTCCACCCAGAAGGGTCCCGGGTCGGGATGACTGGCGACCTTCTTGCTGAGAGGCAACAGCTCTACCAACTGCGCCGCCCTCAACACAATCCAACTATTCAAATAGGTTTGATAAGGGTGAAAATAAACAAGTGTGGAAACCTGTACCATCTTGTAATCTGCATTCTCTAGCAGCAGCATTAGCCGCATGCAGGGAGATAATTCCATCAAATCCCTCCTGTGGGTGTGCCTCACCTGCTGTGAGTGTATATTAATGACCTGTAAAAAACAAGCTTACCCTCCAAACTTCCTAAAAAATAGAAATGGCTATGTTTATATGTTTATATACACTGAGACATATTTTTTAATAAAAAATAGACATTGGCTAATTGGGTGAAATCCTTTTCTGCACTAATAATTACTTCTCTTAAAGCTGCACCCCTTTTATTTCAGAAATACCAAATGATGATGTAGTCAGAGCTCAGAATTATTGTTTATTCTGTGTTTTGGCATGGACTAGCTAAATACCATTAGTATTCCTGAATCCGCATTATGTACATACAAATGTAACAATGTGTAGCAGTCTGCACTCCGGTCACGGCTCGGGCATGAACAGAACCATTATCAGGCCCATGCTAAGCCCCCTGAGCCAATTTGATGTGATGAATGTGCAATTTCCTTTGTCTCCACACAGACAGTTAATTACAATCTCTATCAATAAAGTATGTCCCACTTCAGTGGTCGACATTATAGACCGAGGAGTCACATCTTCCGACGACCTGTCGATCCACTGTACTGCAGAGTTTGTCAAGTCTGAACGAATTTAATGGGGCCCAGACTTTTTTAAGAACGAGTTAAGATAAGCAGAGAAGATGAACTTTGAGAGAGACTAAATTAACCACTTTAGTATTTACAGAGGCTTCCTTTAGCTTAGATTCCCTGGAGGTGATTAAGAAACGAATTATAATAAGTCTGCCTTGGCTTTGTGAAGAAAAGGACACAGAGAGTGGCAGACAGACTGAAAGACAGAAACGTATTGATTTTTGGACTAAATTGAAACAATCTTTCATAATCAGGAGCAATGTTCTGTTGCATGTTTGAGTTTTCCACTCGTTCTTCTTGCCAGTTTTTGTGTATTTCTCTCCTGCTCAAATACTAAACCATCCAGACACGACTCAAACGGCACTGCAGCCATAAAATAATTTAATACAGCAAATATCCTTGGAGCCAAGAAACGATGGCCCCAGACTGCAGTGGTGAATTTGATACGTGGATTTTCTCCTGAGTGCTCTCACACACATACAACCACCTACAGTTTTGAAGAGGCCAAATTAAATTACTTTTGTCTGGGTATTTTGTCTGGATACATAATAACAATCTGTAAGTGTCCCTTTAAAGATTTCTGTTCTCAGTTTGGAAAACGAGGTGGGCACAGTCGGTTTTGTGCGCTGGCATCACTGTGGATGTTGAGTAGGCAGCTGAGGAGCGATTGCACTCGTACTGAACTGTAGTCTGAATCTGTGGTAAAACTGGTGTAAGCTTGGCAGGGGCGATCCTAGAATCTGCCCTTTAGGGGTGCTCAGCCCCCAGTGCTGACAATGGCTCTTGGCTTGAACAACGTGGTGGCCATTAGCATCAAAAGCATTCATAATGTTGGAGGGACACACTGGTGGTGGGGGTCTGGGGGTCCTCCCCCAGAAAATTTTGAATAAAGTAGAAGTCATTTCCTGCATTCTGGTGTATTTTTGTTAAACATCTACATTTACCTGCATTAGTAAACACTTGATTTAATAACTATTTTAGAGAGCTGGGCACAACAAGAAGTAGCGCTAAGCTAGCAGTGTGCAAAGATGCGCTAGCTAAGATGCTACAGATGTGAGCTCTGCTTTACATTACACATCCTAATAATAACAAATGCACGGTTGTCAAAAGTTTTAATACATTTGATTACCTTCAGGAGAAAAATAGATTCAAGATTACTGCCACAGCCAAGTGGAGTTA